AGGGGAGAATGGTTTTGGTTCTCTCTGGAATTCCACTATCATTAGCTATATTACCAAGAAAGGGGGAACTGCTTACCGATCTCTGTCTGGTCAGACTCTGGATTTTGTCTGTTGGGCCAATGACCTTGAAGTGACTATTCTGACGGGTCATGGTCCCCGAGTTCTGATTCTTGTGGTCGATCTCTTATTGCATCCCCACCGGGTTCTCCACAGAGTGGTCTCTTCATCCTCACATTTTTCTGTGGGTGTGTTCTCAACAGAGAACACTGCATATTTGTATGTGTTTCTCATTCACTGGTATGCCACACTTTCTTCCTTTTAGTCTTCAGTTCCCACCCTTCAGCTGTGGAAATAGATGTTTTCAGTCAAGATTAGAGGAGTCTTCACCTGTATGCCTACCCTTCGATTTGACTCATCTTCTGGGTCTTTTCCCCTTATTCAGAACCAAACCTTCTTGTGCTCTGTTGGATCTTCTGTATTGGCCACTCATGTGTGGTTCCCTCTGCTCTGGCCCTTCATGGAGCAACAGACCCTGCCCCTTTCTCTGCCCTGTTTGCTCCTCTGTCCACCACAATAGGTCATTTTTCATTCCAACATTACCATACTGTATCTTTTAGTGTCTTTTATCTGGTCCCATGCCTCAGCTCAGGGACTCGCCTCTAGTGTCACACTTTTCCTTGCCTACACTGTTTACCCTTTCTCATTGTCTATGTACCAAGAGCATAAGTCTTGCTTTGGTCACTGGTCTTTTTCCCAGGGCTTCCATCCCTCCACTACTTATGTTCATCACCTGTCCCAGCTCATCATCTAGTTGTTTGTTTAGGAATTGTCTGTTTCAATTGTTGCTCTTTATAGAGCTGCACTGTTGAACTTCCTCCTTTCTCCCTCTTCCAGAAAGTTTCTTTTCCCTGGGTTGTTCCATTTCTTTCATCTGGTCCATTTGACATGTTTCCTTTGTTCTGCCAGATTGGGATCTCCATAGTGTTTTTCCTGTCTTGTCTGGTTCTCCCTTTGAACCCATTGTAATATTTTTCCTTGTAAGATTTTCTCTTACAACCTCAGTCCTACCCCTTCTGGCATGTGGTCTTTGTCATTCTGATTTTTATGACATCCATTATCATTCCTCATATGTTTTTCATTATCTGGATCCATCATTCCTTCCCTAGACTTTGGCTACCCAGGTAGGTTGTTTTGCCTTTTCTCCTTTTTCCTTTCCTTCTTTTTCCCACCTGTATTCCCATTCGTTTCCAGATCATCTCCTTTGTCCAGTTTGTTCCCTGTTCTGTTCTGTAGCTTGTGCTGTTTCCTTTTGATGTTCTCGTTCCTGTCTCATTGTTCCATGGCATTCCTTCACCCCAGTGACAGACATGTGTAGAATTGCCACAGGAGGGAGACAACATCTGCCTGAAGAAGAAACAGCAAAGTTGTGTAGAGAAAGAGTGATGAAAGTTTAGGGAGTTATCTGCATCCTGGTCTGAACGATCCCCCCCCCAACAATGGCAGAGTCAAGCAGCTAAAGACAGAGTTAGGTGATGAATTAGGAGTGAAGAAACAATATGTAGAAGTTAAACAGCCAGGGACACATCCAAATACGCCAGGTGTAGGAGTTGATGAACCCAACCTGTTACTGTAATAGGAGAGAGATCAGGAGAAACGTCATCATATTATTATTTTTTCCTCTTTTTTTCTTGGTGGTGTATCTATATCTATATATCACTTTTTTTATCAATAACTATCTATCATATATATATATATACACACACACATCCTGAGGACCATCACTCATGGACTTCATGAGTAAAGCAGATAGGGATTTTTGCCCATCCCTATTGACCCATGATTCTTACAATCCGGGTCTTTCTGCTTTTCAAAATAGCAAAACGTAGTCACCCATTGCACTGTCTCTGGTTGGTCATTCCTCCGAACCTCCCAATTCCAGTTCCCAGTCGCTGGAGTGGTGGACCATGGAGATTTCCTCATGAGTGGGTTTTGTATATCTACTCACTTGATGAGAATAGGGATACCATCGTTATGCTTCATATTATACACACAATATGGCATGAAATCTATTATGCAAGGCACTTCCACTGGATGTTTTCTACCCAGATGGACCGTACTTGACATAATCCAATGTATACCAAGGGGGTTCCCTCTGATGTTTTTGCCTGGGTGGACCTCACTTGGCTATCTTGATATCAATCCAAGGTGCTTCCCCAGGATGTTTTTGCCTGGGCGGACCACACTTGTAGATTTTACCTATTGTTGTTATGCTGCATATTATACACACAATATTGCATGAAATATATTATGCAAGGTGCTTCCACTGGATGTTTTCTGCCCGGTTGGACCACACTTGACATAATCCAATGTATACCAAGGTGCTTTTCCTGGGGCAGACTACACTTGTTGATCTTACAAACTTATGCAAGGTGCTTCCATGTTGTCTTTATCCTTAGACCTCACTTGTCATAATATGTCATATCCCAAGGTGCTTCCTCTGGATGTTTACTGCCTGTGTGGACTGCACTTGGCCTAGTCATATATGGTCCTCTAGCCCTAGCCACATATTTATTTGTTTCCACTCTATGTGTCATCTTATTTACTAGGTGAAGAGCATACTTATTCCAGAAGTATTGCTATACCCCAAGGCGTGCCTCATATTTTAATTGTGGCACACCTGCTTTTCTTATAGTGGTCGCTCTCTGGCTATGGCGGGGCAGAGGTAGTACTGTTTCGGAAGATAACATTTTCGAATACTGAAAATGTATTTTCAATAGGTACTTACCTCCACTTACCCACTTCCCACCCTTCCTCCCCACTGATTTTCTGGTGTTTTGTTGTTTGTATATGCCATTTCTTGAAAGTGAGGGTTGTGCTGTAAGGGTAGAGGGTGCAATGGGATTGGTGGAGGGTGGTCACATGAGCAGCACATGTTGCTGCAATGATGCAAAAAATATTGTGGTATAAAAGTTTGGTGTGCTCTTAAAAAGTTTACCAATGCCTAAAGGGCAAATGAAGGTCGAGATAGCTATGGGTGAGAAGTACCAATTGGAAATACATTTTTGGTGGTAGAAAATGTTAACTTCTGGATTACTGCCATATTTGTCTGGAGTCGAATCAGGTTCTCAGAGCAGGAGTTTGATAGCTCTGTAACCAAAAAATTGAAGGCTATAAAAATTATGGTTTGTTTGAGCAATAATGATTTTATAGAGAGTATTTTACTTTAGTTTCATACATTTTCGAGGGGTGATGGATAAAATAGAGATGATGACATGCTAAGACAAAATGTGTCATGTGGGTCACACTAGTGGAAATTCAGGATATTTTTAAATATTGCCTTGTAAAATTAAGAACGTAAAACCTGTATACTATTAAAATATGGATTATTAGCTAATATTTTATGCTATTCTAATTGGTATAACATAAACAAAAAGTGGTTTGATAAAATTTTGAATGTAAGACATTAAAACCTTGTCTCATGCACAGTAAAGGTTACCCGGGGTGAGAGGGGTAATGCACTAGTGATATTTACTAGTGCTCTGGATACCTTTCTTATTTCTTGATCATGGAATTCAAATGAATGATTCAAAGAATTCTTAATAGTCGCCTGGATTATTTCTTTAGAAATTTGTCTTTGCTGGTCAAACTTTTTATGTAATTCTGCTAAATCAACCATGGTTGCGGTTCCAAGTAACAATTTTAGAACATTTCTGCCTTTATAAATTAAACCATGTTTCTCTACATTACGATTGGATATAGAAACACTGTCTGTTATATTGTTTAGTTCCAGTAATAGATCATCTATCTCATCATGATATTGATTAAATAGTCTTGTAATTTTCAGTTAGTCCTTTCTGTAATATTCTAACCAATTTTAAGATAGTTATTCTATGATGTGTAATATGATATGACATCATATTTTCTCCACTTCCTGCATAAAAGCTAATGCGAGTATCAACGTCAAATGATTTCTCGATTGTTACCGATTCTTCTTGTAAATGGATTAACAATCAAACATACTGTGAAAACGGTATGTCCGCGACAATTATCCATTTATCTCCAGATAATATAAAATTACTTTCTTCGTTGGATACAATGCCTATGTTGTTTTCACAGGAATAATACTTACATTTTGTCTTGTTGCAATTCTAAATTTCAGTACCATAAGGATCCTGGTATACCTATGAATATGTTTGCTGCTAGTACGCATAACAATATGATACTGCATTATTAAACACAATCTTATCCTAGTCATATCTCTTCAGACAATCTATCATATTATTGAATGCTTTTATTATATTTGAGTCATTGTTAATTACTTTCACATCACTTTTAGGTGTATGTGTAATAACTTGAGGGTTAAATCTTACTCTCCTTGTCTTGAGTGTAAGCTATAATTCTGGCTCATCTGCTATTGTTGTAACTATGCGTCACTTTATTGGTTTGCGTTGTTACTGGTGTACTTGGTACATTTTCTTGTGTTAGTATTCTACTTTCATTACTAGGGTCGCTAACTTGAATATTTTTAGTAGTTACGACTTTATCATCTAGAACAACATCCTCTTCTAGTATAGGTTCTTTTACCTCGATGGCTTCGTCATTGTCAGGGGTTATTTCATTTCAGTCTCACTGTTGTCTTCAGTTTCTTTTCACAAGTCCTTACCTTGCTTCTTCAGTTTCGTCTGTTAATTGCTCATACTACGTATGGTTGGGAATTTCTTATTAGCATTAATTCATTAACATATCCTACTTGTTTATATATATTTCTTTCTTAACATTAAGTCACCTAATTTTTTTTCACATAAAAACGTGCTTCCTGAAAACCATTAAATATGCATTTACTTTGTATTTGTATTCCACAAACACTTCAAGTTTAATAGAATATGAATAGATAAAACCTAAGCATGTTATTACAAAATAATTATGAATTGATGGGTTCTGTTAGCAAATATATGTAATGATTTGTATAACTTAACTGTTACTATTTTATTTGTCTGCAGGATATAAGTGGTGCACTTTCTGCTAAAGAAGTTTCTGAAGCCCTTGGAACAGTGGATCTTCTTGAACAAGGTCACAAGGTTGAAGTTTTGCCTCTCCAGGTCCCTTCAGAATTTCCTTACCATTGTACAGTTGATGCTGCAAAACAGCTTGTGTCAACCTGGTGTTGTAGGAAATAAAATACAATCAGTTTTTACAACAATGCAAGTTTTAAGATTGAACTTGAAAGTAAATTAATGTAAGCATTATTTTTTTTGCATAAATTCTATAAGTATAGCATGAGAACTTTTCCGTTTTACAGACTGAGTGAGTGGAAAGAATCTGATGGCATGCGCTTGAAATTAAGATATAATTTCAAAGATTTGTGGAATCTCCTCTTCAAAGAGAAACATATGTAACTTAGTACTTTGATAAGTTAAGGTGCATTAAAGCTTCCTCTAACTCTTGTATATTTATTTTTATTACATGACTAAAATTACATTGTATTTAAAAATGAAAATTAATTTCATTGTTTTTGTTGTATCTGTTTTAAACAGATCACATGTCCACAAGAGAACTTGTAATATTACCCTAATTGTAAATTTCAGTTTAATTATTTTAAAATAAGCTATCCTAATCTGTACAGTGCACTTTGAAAAAAAACTGTTATTTATGTCACAGATCATATATATATATATGTCTTATATATAATAGTGATTATAAAAAGTGAGAATAACAACTGGTTCAGCAAAGAATCTTGTGAGCTTACCTGAAACAAGGTTTTATTTTCCTATTTATTTGGACTAATTGGTCTACAAAAATTTTAAAAAGCAATAACATGCAATTTAAACTGTTTTAATAATTCATGTTTGGTATGGCCCATAAAATAAATTCATATTCAAAACTAGTGGTACTTAAATAAAAAATATTTTTTATAAAAAAATTCAGTTTCTAGCAGTTCATTGAAGACAAAATAGTATTTTTAATTTTCTTTATTTCAGTACGGTATGTTGAGTAACCAGGTAGGGAAGTATAAGTTTTGTTGAGTAACCAGGTAGGGAAGTATAAGTTTTGTTGAGTAACCAGGTAGTGAAGTATAAGTTTGTTAGCTGTAGAAAACATATCACTTTGTTTACAAAATGGTACTGTTAATCATTTCTGGTAGAGTTTTTACTGAACATATCACAAAAAAAAATGTGTAATTTCTGTGTGTAAGTTTGTTGTTAATGTAGGTATTGGTGATGTTTTTTTATGTTTACAGTTTATCTTCAAGGATAGTTAATGTATCTTTAATTTGCATTTATACAGTACTTTCAAAATGTCGTTCAGAATTACACGTAAGATCAGATATCTGTGGAGTGACTTGCATGATGAATTATACAAAGATAATTGTTACCATAAAGTTCCAGTTTGATATGTTTGGAGTTTTTGAAATAGTAGATGCTACTTATATAAAAAAAAAGGACGATTTTATTCTTAGCTATGTTATATATCTGCTTATTTTTAAATAACTTTTTTTTTGCATCCCAGAACCAAAGCAGTATATATTTGAGATCTGTAGGTATGCTGATGAATAAAATGTATGTGTAAATTGCTAATTCAGAAAGAGAAACTTTCCAATATCTTTGGCAACTTTTAAATCCTCATGATTCTATATGCATTTAATCCTTTTTATCCTGTTGGTAATTTTCTGCATTGAATGTTTATTGTTCTTATATCACCGAAGATTTTAATTGATACTTATTTTATATTTTGTTGGATTGGATTTTGCATTGCATTTATAAAATCTATATTATCTCATAATTATATATATATATTTATATTCAATAAAAACTGTGTAATAGTTTTGCAGATTTTAACATCAAAAAGATAGAATGTAACAATGGTATCTTTTTACCCTGGATGATATTTCAAAACTACAACAAAGTTAATAAACATAACTTTGCATAAGAAAGACAAGACAGTAAACCTTATGTGGAACTACAGCATGATGTAAAAAGTACCTTGGTAAAAGAGGTAACAACAGTCACACTTTAACCTCTATTAAAAAATCCTTGCATGTGTGAGGGAACATTATGACCATTATTAGCAAATATGAGTGTTAGACCCCACAATATAAACTTACATTCATTATCTTCATCCAGTAGTGAAAATATTTATTTTTAAAGAAAAATATTAAAAAAATAAAACTGAATACTCTAACTAGAACTCACTCGTGAGTGACAAAAAAATCTTATACCATGAATTTTGCCCCCCCCCCAGCCCCCATCATAATCAGAGTCCTATAAAAAGAGTATCTTAGATACCTAGGTCAAAAATTAGTACTATTCTTGAAATCAGTAGTTTTATTTAACCTTTCATGTTCTGAAAAGTAGCAGATAATGTTGTAAAAATCAAACACTCGGCAAGATGAACTTAAATACTTGTGTGCTATGTAAAACACGGGTACCAGATACTAATGATAAACTTTTCTGGAGTTAGGGTTTTCCCCAACTTGAAACAAATTAAGGTTACACAGCTGAAAGTACTCAATCACATCATTTCCTGCATAATAATCATAATATTGACTTTAAACTGTACTGTTACAGGATTTGCATAATGAGAAATTGGTCAAGGTGACTACGATGCTTTACGAATTCATTGGATTCACTCTAACATTTAACATGATGTTTATGTATTAACCTTGAACTGTACTGTTACAGGATTTGAATAATGAGAAATTAGTCAAGGTGACCACGATGCTTTACGAACTCATTGGATTCACTCTAACATTTAACATGATGTTTATGTATTAACCTTGAACTGTACTGTTACAGGATTTGCATAATGAGAAATTAGTCAAGGTGACCACGATGCTTTAGGAACTCATCTAACATTTAACATGACGTTTACGTACTGTTTATATATTAACCTTGATGCCTGACTCACCTTCTTTACTTGATTTATAGAGTGTTCTTGTTCTTTCTACATCCCCACCTCAAAACGTCTCTAGCCAATCAGACAGAATTTTCATGTTGCTCCTCCATTTCCACTAGAATTTTCTTCCTCAGTGTTACAGAAGCTTCTGGAATAATGCAATATGGTAATGAGCCACCAATACCGTACCTTTTTTCATTATTCAAGAAATCTCTCTACACAGATATCTTTATCATAGCTCACGTGAGATGTTGGGTTAAAAAATTAATTAAAGACAAAAATATGAAACCCTATATCTTGGCCTGTCTTCATGACGGTAAGCTGTTCCTGATGAAAAAAGGTTTAACTTTCAAAAGTGTTTGGGTTTTAGAGTTTTTTATTTGTTTTATTGTTCATGTAATTGTTTCCAAATCAAGTGGAGTGTATTAACATGGAACAACATCCTTTAAAAACACCATTCGTACCAAAACGGGCATGATGGCAAACTGCCCAGATTGAGAAAACTATACATTTTGAGTTATAGGCTGCTTTATTTTTATTATTATTATTCATAATTAAAATGGAAAATTACTAAAAAAAATATTTTAACAACTTATGCCAAAACAGGCATAATGGTTTTTAACAATATGATTTACTAATTTTAAAGTACATTTTATGCCACTTGCATTGTAGTTTGTATCTTAGTTTTATGTGATGCTGGGTGTTCAGGAAAGCCATTGTACCAACATTTGATATAGTTCAAGTCCATCTGTAAGTCACAATAATAGAATTTTACTACAAATATAGCTGTAATTAGTGGAAGGGGTCTTAAATGTGTAATTCATGAAATACGAATAAGATAAAATGATGGAGATCCAACTGATTTTAATTTAGGTTATATTTTAGAAATTTTAATCACTTGGGAATGAAAAGTCAACTTTATGGAATATGTAAAAAAGATAGTGATGTGAAGGTGTGATGATACACAGTCAAGTGCTTATTAACATTTAAAAAGAATATTAATTTGACGATACAGGGGTTATTCTGATTTTCGTTTTGTTTTTTACTATAGAGATAGAGTCCATTCTTTAGCAAGTCTATCTCAATGGTAATTGGAAAATAACTTTTGCTTAGAACATTAAATGTGTAGCATACTTCTTGCAGAAATTCCTCTAACAAACAGTTGACGTTCATTTTTAAGAAATTTTTTCTTTATAGATGTTTGTTTTGAATGAATTGTAAATTACATATAACTACTGATGATATAGTTTTGTACTTTTTTTCCAGCAAATGCCTTTGTTTAGATCACTAATGTTGACTTCACAAGATATTTAAAACTGGTGCTTGGCTTGTTGAATATCAACAACTCTGATAAAAATAATTAGTTTGCAAGGTTTCGTAGTGTCTATATCTTAATAAATTTCTGGTAACAGCTGTTCTTTAAGCTTTTTTAATGATTTTATAATTCAATCCTCTTTTCTGCCATCTGATTGTGGTACTAGATGGCAGTACTGTACTATGTAACAGCTCAAACAAAATCATTAATGAATGAGTAATCAAACATGTCACAAGATTGATATAAGTCAACTTGTACATAATTCAGTGCTAATAATTTGCTTCTTTTAAAAAATATACACGACCTAATGTTATAAACTAGATGTATGTGTATGTATCACTGGCTTATTTTCTTTGGTAAGTAGTTTTATATATATGTATATGTGCATAAAACTCCAAAACTGTATTCCATGTGATGTCATATGATGCTTCATTCTAAAAACCAATGAAAGTATATTTAGTAATACAAATCCTCTTTGTTCCAAATCATGCATGAGTTTCTTTGAATACTTTTGACCAATGATTGTTTTCAGGTAAAGTACATACAAAATATTAAATAGATTTTTAATACAAGTTTTAGCAGTATACATAACTTTAATTATTAAATAGATAAGCCTGTAGAAAAGTGGGTGAAAAATTTTATTAACATTCGGGCAACATTCTATAAACCAGCTTACAAAAGTTATGAAAATGTAAATGTGATCACTTGTAAATCTAGTCATTATTGGATCTTTATACTGTTATGTACTTAATAATTGTATTGAAGTCATTCTTTAGAAAAAATTAAAATTATTATCATTAAGTTTCAGTAAGTAATATTCTGTCGAAAGCCAATAAAAAAAACTTAACAGGTTGTATGTGAAAATACAGTTTGTAGCACATTGAATATCTGAAATCAGTTTCACTGTTTATAACAACAGATTGGAAGTTTTGCTGCATTGATCCTCCTGGATTATGTGTAGTTCTTGTTTAATTTTTAATCATTTTATATGATTACTATCTAAATTAGAGTACCTTGTTCTGTTTCCAAACACAACCTTGTAATATGGTTTTATGTCCCTTTCAGTTGGTGTTTGTTTATGTTGTACATTTCATAAATTAAAAGTTCATTCATAATATTTTCTTTGGCTACACTTAAAAATAGTCAAGTATGTTCATTATTAAGTTTTTTAGTTTATAATATTTTACTTTAAAGTTCTGATTTTTCAAAAATATTTTAGCATTGTGTCAGGTTTTATTTTTCCAAATACAAGAGTAGCACATTTAATTAGCTTTTCTTCAGCTGGTTAGAAGCTATAATCTTGGACATAAAAAAAAGATGATTGCAGTTATCACTACATAGAAATAAACAACAATGTAAACTGTGAATTTGTGTCTGTCTTAACTTATTGCTTATATTTTGTTACATATGCATTACTTTTTATTTTTGAGTAACAGTTTTTGTGTCTCAAATTAGTACTGAAAATATCTAATAAAAGATGTGTATTGAACCCAAAAAAATGAAATCTTGCATGAAATGTAAAATTAAAAACATGTTATTCCTGAGGCTGACTTTATTCTACTAACTTGATAACATTGAATTACAATTTTC